TCTAAAAGGTTCTCATTTTTCTTTTCTCACAATATTCCTCCTTATGATTGAGATATTTTTTCTTGTCCTTTCTTCCTTGACAGTGAAATTCTGCATTGAGTCAGCTACATCCATCTTGTTGCCCAAGGCTTTCATTCAGGTTTTTCCTCTGACTAACACAATAGCTGATTCTGAAAAACGTGTGGGTCTTTTTTTCTTTGGAATTTTGGGGTTATTATTATTATTTTTACAATAACTCTTCTCTCTTTCCATTGTTTTAAATTCCCCATAGTTTAATTGTCTAAGTTTAACCTCTTTACTTGAGGCCAATAATTCATGATTTGTTCTACAAACTACACCTAAAAGTAGCCTGGTTGACTTGATTGCACTTATCAATCTTTTATTTCCTTTCCTGAAGAGGCCTGGTGGCTCAATGGCTCAATGATACTGGAGAAGGTCTGTACTCTGGTTGTTCGAGCCCTAGCATTGCATGATGGAGTGAGCTCCTGTCAGCTTTGGCCAACCTAGCAGTTCAAAAGCATGCTGTCAACGCTGCTAATATTGAATATTCTTGCTTTGACAAAATATGCAGAACTGTCTGGTACTTTTAGAGTTAATTCAGATGAGAATGAGAGAGGAGAGAAAAGTGCTCGGAAGGGAACGGAAGTGAATCTTTGCCCTCCAGGTTAATTGGAAGATGTGAATCATGACCCCAAAATAGGGGAGGGAAAATGCCTGGAATGATATGTGCAAAGGAAGGGAAATTCAGATCTTGGCATTCTCCATGCCGTGCTGACACTCCTTTACACTAATAAAGGCTTTTTAGGTTAAAAAATGCCTGAAAGTTCTTTGAAGTGTTTCATTAGTCAGGCACATGACACATGCTACATGCAAGTAGATAAATAGGTACCACCGGTGGGAAAATAATGCTGTTTAATATGAATCCAGCCAGTGCTGGACTTTCCCCAGTGTGACGTCTGAGCGTGAAGCAACATCAGTGGAGGGAGAAGCCCTGAATGATACTGCAGAACACCGATGAAACGTTCTGAGTGTGGAACTAGTCCGTCCCCTGTGATGCATTCTGGTTAGTGCACAAGCATGAACTGAACGGACTAGCAATTGTCAGAAGCCAAACACCTATTTGTACTAACACTGTAATCTCCTGGCTAATCTAATTTTGCCATAGGCTAAATAAATAAATAATTTTCTAAAATATGTCTCAGCCCTATGCTGTGACAGAAATGTTTCTGTCAAACCTTGAAAGCACAATTTCTTGAAAAGAACAGCAAGATTTTTGCCTTAAAAGATTTTCTGGAATGGAGAAACCCTGAGAAGTGGCTTACTATATTAGAATGCACTTCAAGAATTCTAAAAAAAAACAAAAAGAGAGAGAGACCAATCACTGCCCCAGAATGTACAATTCTATTTTTATCCTATTTCTTGCTGGGTCTATATCGATGGATTGGCAAGAGCACAGGACTACAAACTGAGAATTAATAACATTCGAACTTCAAAGACTTCACGTTATTCCAACTATATTTTATTTTTCTCTCTTACAACTCTCTTCTTGATAGTACTGAATAGTCCGGCCTTCAGCTAATTTACCCATTTTGCTATCAGTACTGCTGCTTAATAGAACAAGTCAGTACTTCAAAGGAGGTGACTTTCTTGTTGTAAAAAAAATTTTTTTTTTGGCCTTTCTCGTTGGTGAAATTTTGATATTCACTTTCCTTAAAGGACTTCTTTGCTTTGAGTTGTTTATACGTAAATTTCTACCTTTGCCCCTGTCTTTCGATGCAAAAATAATTTCTTAATAATGAAATTATTCTTTGTATAGATTACTCACCATGATTTCTTAGGTAACTTCGGATATATTAGTTATCAGAAGGGCTGTGATTACTCAACAATTATTCAGAAGAAGTGCTTTGGAGCCAGTACAAGATCAGTATTATTCAGAAAGCAGTCCATTTCTACCACCAACACCCTCGGGTTTCCTTGTAAGCCTTAGAGATAGAGGTGCTGCTTTAAGGAGACCATTCAAGTTAATGTGATTCTTAAAGCAAGATCATTTTGGGGGTCACAAGAAAGCCTTTAAAATGTTGAAATGCTTCTATGAATAGCAGGAAGATGCTGTACTTGTAGATACAAATCATCTTTTGAAAATCATTTCTGAAAATGACAGTCCATCACTAATACAATTACTCCTTTAGATTAAAAAGAGTTTTCCAATGTTAAGTATCAAGAACTTTTATTCATAGTACCCCACCATGATCATTTGGCCTGTATTATTAGCTTTATTTTTGTCCTTTTCCTGGGATCATCCACCCCATAGCCTCAAAAAAGATTCTAGCACTGGATTCTAAATAAGCTAAAATAATTTAAGGAATTCTTAGCTAAATTGAGAGAAGGTATTTGTTATTTGTCAAATAATTTGCCATTCTGTTAAATTTCTAGAGGTATAGCTGTGTTAGTTTTTGGCAGAAAGAATAAAAAAAAATTAAAGACCAATTCCAATGCAACATCTGAATGAATTTAAGATTGTTAGAAATAAAAGAGAAGAATATAAAATTGGTCTGTTTGACCAAGATTAAAATAAGACATGTTTCTACGAGGTCTGATAAACCTTTTCAGACTTTTTGCTGACATCAGAAGTGATAACTTGATTTATGGATTTGCATATAGATAAGTGATGGTTATGGGAAGAAGATATATTTGTTTATAACCTTATAGGGCAGTGGTTCTCAACCTTTTTTAATGCCGCGACCCCCAACCGGTCGTAAGTCAAGGACTAAACCGGTCGTAAGACGAGGACTAAACCGGTCGTACGTCGAGGACTAAACCGGTCGTAAGTCGAGGACTACCCAACTGGTCGTAAGTCGAGGACTTACCCTGCCCGGGAGCGCCGCGCATGCGTGGTTCCGCCCCCTGCGCTGGCCGAGGCGTAGCTGGCAAGCGGCAGAGACGGAGCAGGCCGACCACCAGCTGGCCCAGCTCAAGGGCAGTAAGGCACCCGCCGGAAAAGGGGAAAAAAATGGCGGACAGCCTTGTTTGGCGACCCCCGTGAAATGGTCGATCGACCCCAAATGGGGTCGCGATCCATAGGTTGAGAACTGCTGTTATAGGGGGTAAAGAATTAAGTTTCTTTATACTTATTGTGATGAAGATCAGAAATAATTTATATACTGTATCTAAAAGTTCTACCTTCCCGTCTCTCCTCATTTTGAATTTAGTTTGCATTTGCTTTTAATACTGTAATTAAAATCTTCAATAAAAATTATACTTAAAAAAGAAGGGACTGGTAAGAGGGAAAATTAAAAAAAACATAAATAAATTATAAATAAAACATCAGTAATAACGAGGTTCTTTTTTCTAGAAGGATTTTTTTTTTTTTGCTGTTGCAACAATGAAGAGGCTTGTGGCACCTGAAAACACCGTTCATCTGTTCTCATACAGGTAACCATTATTTGGAGAGAGAAGGGAGAGAAGAATAGTGAAAGGAAAAATGAGAGATGGAAATGTTCTTCTCTTAATAATCTGTATCATTTTCATTCCCTCTTCTATCCCCAGCTATTGATTTATTGATTATGTGCCAGCAAGTGGGTGTCGACTCTTAGCAACCAAATAGATTTTCTCAGTTACAATTTATCCTCAAGTCTTTCACGACTTCCAGTTGCGCAATCATCCCTACTGTAATTTAGTCCATCCACTTGCCACCCCAAGTAATTCTGGGCCTAAGTGTCAGATCTGCCATCACACCACTCCAGCTTCGCATTGATGGCATCCTGCCATAAAAGGGGGAAGGGGGAGCAAAGCAAGAGAACACAGGAAAGGGGGGCTGACAGGGATCAGAGGTGCCAATCGGAGACACAACCGTTGAGAATGGAATACAAACATACACCAAAGAGGCGCCAAACCCAGCACTGTTACCAAAACAATGAATTTGAATACTATTGGAATGACTAGATGACTGGGGGGGGGATATCTGGGAGAAGTGAAATATACTGAATTTATGCAGGAATATTCAGATGTGGCTTAACCACTTAACCTTAATAAAAGTATACCTTTTCTCAACAAATGGAGTTAATGATCTTTGTTTACTAAGTGTCCAAGCTAGGACAGGGCTGACACTAAGATTACTTGTCCAAGGCTGCAAACAACTGACCAAAACAATCTTTGAACTGATTTTTTTTTGTTAAAAAAAAAAAGGAGGACATGTGTGAATCCATTGGAAGGGGTCATTTGCCCATGGTGGTGTAAAGAGAGAAGAAGAAAACAAATCTATTCGTTTTGATCCATGGTGTGTGTTGTCTTACATAATGAATTGGTTTAGTAATCTATTTTATTCAATTCTTCAACTAATTGAAACAATAATGAGGCTTTACAAAGGACCACTTGTTGTAGATTTCTACAACATCCAAGTAGAAGGCTTTTCTTTACACAAAAAAGGTAATGGTCTTTATCATTTGTAAAGTTCAGAAAAAAATAAGCAAAGTAGAAATTAGATTATCCGGAACACCATCAGTTTCCCTGAGATATAAGAGTTTAATTTATTTTCCTGTCTAATCTGGAAGATTTGCCTTTCAATATCTTTTTTATTATTGTTAGCAACTTGCCTATAAGCTTATGCCTGAGACACAGTTCACCTTAAAGTGAATTTCAGAAACTACTGCTAGAAAACATAGAAAAAATAGTTATCATGGGGGGCAAACATCTGGTATTCAGTGTAATAACACAAAGAAGCAATGCTTTTACCCTGTAGGTTACTTTTGCATGGTAACTAAATGGGAAATACAACTGCAGGATTCCAACACTGTGTAAGTTCTGGAATGCCTTCCCATAAATCCATGCACATCCTTAAAAGAGTGGAAGCTAATAGTTTTTTAAACAAAAAAAACCTCTCAAAGCATAGTAAAATTCCCAAGCAGTTTTAAAATGCATTGGAACAAAACTGCCGAAATAACATCCTAAATATTTAAAGAATGCATTTAAAAGTTAATAGCTTCCTGACAGAAATACTGTACCTGAGCCCTGGTATGAACTTCCCCAAGGAGTCCAGAATATTGCTGTTCCAAGTCGTTCTTCTGCTTTAACCAACAGCTTTCTTGAGCTTTCATCTGTTCTGCAAATTTCTTCAAAGTGTCTTCTTGGGTCTGTTGAATCTCCTTCATTGTATCTGACTTGTTTTTACAAACATATTCAAGGTGTGATACCTGCATGGTGGGCATTTAAAGAAAAAAAAAATCCTTCACCCTTCTCAAGGCATACACACAGTTCTATTTTAAAAGTAGCACGTTAATAATACATTCAGGATGCTACAACTAATCCCATAACCTACAAGGAATTTAGTACCACTTCTCAGCAATGGAAACATACCAGTCAAATTTCCGTAGCCTGTGACCTGGATCTTTTACTATCTATACTTGAGTACCCTTTCTAACACTGAAAGTTTTAGGACCAAGTTTCTGTACCAGCAACGTGAATCTGAAAATGAGCACAGTGATTGGATTTTCCCAATACAATATGCAATTCCTGACCTATTTCTGGGTGAGTTATTGGTTTTGCTGTTGGTAACTGCTGCTGCAATTTTTAAAAGAGTTGTGCCTCAGGTTGAAAAAAAAACACCACAATTAATAATATGTAAGTCTTTTACAACAGAAACTATAGGAAGGATCTAATGTTATCCCAAGGGTAATACATTTGTATAGGAAAGCAGCCCAGTTGATGAAGGGTTGTGGCTGGATTGTTGTTTGTCTTAAATATCACATTTTTGTAGATAATAACATTAGATGCTGTAGCAGCAGCAACAACAAAGAGTTTTCATGGGGAAAGGACTGGCGGTCAGCTAAACTATACAAATAGTTTGTACTGGGAACAGAAGAAACTTTTCATAACAAAATGGAGCTAATGATTAAATGAGCTAATGCCAATTTTTAAAGGGTACCAAAAATAATTTTCATATGGATAATTCAGAGGCCTTCAAAACAAAGACCTAGACCTTTTAAGCAGGCAAATGATACCATATTATTTTGGCATGCTTTGCTGGTCTAATAGAAGCTCTTGATTTTATCTTGCCTTTGCACCTCTAATTTTATTTCCATGGTTAAAAACTGAACTGAATTCTACTAATCTAACCGAACTAAAAAGCAGACTAAAAGTATACTTGCTCAAAGTTAGGCAATGATACAAATCTAGTTAAGTCCTCCTGTCAACTTCTGGAAGCATGTTCTAGCCCGCTGGGGCATTTGCCCAGAAGCTTGTTATCATCAGGTTTCTTCTATGTTAAGACATTGGTAGAATTTCTGATTGCAGCCTCTGTTATCGTTTTGCATTAACCAATTCTTAAACTTTAAAAAATAAAGTTCCTTAGAGTTGTACTTCATTTACTATGGCTTGCCTTAAACCTGAATGTGAGATGAATAACTCAGCTCATATGAAATGCTTTTCCTCCTATCCTTGGAGAGCCTAATCTAAGTGAGGACCAACCTTTCAAATTCTTCTTCCAGATCACAGAAAACTATGGGTAATAGGTGAACACGTCAGGCATGCAGATGGACAGAAGTGTTAAAATATAATTTGTACAATTATTTGTACATAACAAAATGCTTCTTTTTTAAAAAAATCTGATCTTATCTTACTATTACCTTCTGCTAACAAGTCAATTCATGTCAACATATGCACGAACTTCGTTGTTAAGCTTTCTTAAATGTTATCTTCTTTAAACTCGTGATGTATAGGTTTGCAATTGCTATATATGTTTACAAATCCAAAAGGATCAAACAGCATCTGGCATTTCATGGAAACATTTTTTTTTCTTCCTCAAATAATTCCTCCTTCTCAACAGCAAATATTTTAAAGAGGATGTTCCTTGAACAAGTGCGTTTTGTTTCTGTTTTATGCTGAGATAAAGAGTTGGTTTATTAGTGTAAATGACTCAGTCCTTTGAATAGCTTCATCAGTAAGATTAATTTATTTTCTTTTAATTAGGTCCCTGTGGCTAACACTGGCTAATAGTATTAGCAAGTCCTGAACAGAAGCTGGAGCTTAGAGATTTCATACAGACTTCAGTCACATTTACATGCCCACAGCAATGGCATCAAACCGAGCTGTAGACAAGCCATAATTAACGGTACTGAATTATTAACATCCAAATTCTTTTTGAAATAAGATGAATGTCAGTCCTTTTTAACGATATTGTGATGTGGACAAATGTCACTGAATTTAATAGAGGTGTCTGGTGCCTGAGGACAGTACCTTCTCATTAGCCTTGTTGAGGTCTAAGATCAGGGTATCAACATTTTCTTGCAAGACTGTGCAAAGCTCTGACCAGGAGAATTTATCCAGGATGCCTTCTGATTTCTTTATAAGAACGCAGCCTGCTACCAAGTGCTGGTACAAAGTATGGAGGAAAGTTAGCTTCTCCTGCAAAATGCAATTCAATTTTTTGGAGGGCGGGGGGGGGGGGGGG